CCTGGTTCCCTCCCACCCCCCTGCTCTAACCACCAGACCCCACTTCCTGCCCAGAACCAGGGATAGAACCCAGGAGTCCTGGTTCCCTCCCACCCCCCTGCTCTAACCACCAGACCCCACTTCCTGCCCAGAACCAGGGATAGAACCCAGGAGTCCTGGCTCCCTCCCACCCCCCTACTCCAACCACTAGACCTCACTTCCTGCGCAGAACCAGGGAGAGAACCCAGGAGTCCTGGCTCCCTCCCACCCCCCCCGCTCCAACCACTAGACCTCACTTCCTGCCCAGAGCCAGGGATAGAACCCAGGAGTTCTGGCTCCCTCCCACCCCCCCACCCCGCTCCAACCACTAGACCCCACTTCCTGTCCAGAACCAGGAATAGAACCCCGGAGTCCTGGCTCCCTCCCACCCCGCCTCGCTCCAACCACTAGACCTCACTTCCTGCCCAGAACCAGGGAGAGAACCCAGAAGTTGTTTCATGGGAGAGTTCAAAATTTTTGCTTTTCCTTCCGATTGGGAACTAAAACAAATGTCGGAATTTCCTAATGAACGGCGCTGCAGAGTTTTGAGCCATGTGAGTTATTTCTTTGTGATGAAAAATGTTTGTTGGCCTTTTGGAAAACAACAGGCCGCACGTGGATGTGGTGCTGGAAATGTTTTTCAGTGGCTCAGTTATCAGGGTGTAGTGCTGGGAAACCTTTTGCAATCACAGGGCGTGGGCGTCATCCCCTCATCTCAGCCTCGTTCCCCCGGCTGTTTAAACACTTCGCGCTTTCTTTCAGCAGGTGTGTGTGAAGGACCCTGTGATTTCATCGATTTTAAAAATCACAAGGAAACTGATCCATCCATCCTACCCTCCTGCATAGCCCAGGCTGCAGAACCTCCAGGAGGGACTCCTGCCTCCAGTTACACAGGAGCTCCAAGTGCGACGCAGAAACAGGCGAATCTCGAGTGGGAGCAGAGAGGTTATTTCACCTCTGGATTTGGCACTGTGTGACTGCTGCTGGAATCCTGTGTCCTGAATAAAGACTGGGAGTGGCTGGGTCACTACAAAAAGTAATTTTCCCTCTGCTGATACTCACACCTTCTTGTCAACTGTTTGAGATGGGCTACCTTGATTGCATTGGCCTCGTTAGTACTACGAAAGTAATTTTCCTTCCCTTGGTATTGGCCTCCTGTTATCAACTGTTGAGAATAGGCCACTTCCATCTTAATTGAATTGGTTCGTTAGCACTGACCTCCCACTTGGTAAGGCAACTCCCATCTTTTCATGTGGTATCATATATATTCTGCTTACTGTATTTTTCACTCCATGCATCTGATGAAGTGGGTTCTAGCCCACGAAAGCTTATGCCCAAATACATTGGTTAGTCTCTAAGGTGCCACAAAGACTCCTCGTTGTTTTTGCTGATACAGACTAACACGGCTGCCACTCAAACCGTTCATTAGGTGGTGAACTAATATTAATTAAATAACTGGGTTGTTTCTGCAATCCACCCCCCCCCCCGTGCCATTTTTCCCTGTGTCCCGAATGATCTTAAAACCAGGACAACGCCAGCACTTCAAACGTGGCGTGTAATTGAGATAGAATCGTGAGCAAGAATGAGGTGCACAGCCGCTGCAAAAAATTGGCTCCAAAAAATAAAATAAAGAAACGCCGGCTCTTTTGTTTTGAGTTCTGGCGCTGGAGGACTGACAGGTCACATTTTCTAGGTTTTCTCCATAATGGCAAGAAACTCTCTTTTTTCTTAATGAAACCTGCCACTGATGCTACGTACATCCTGATGATGGTGACAGCTTATTTGCGTCACACTTACAGTCAGCTTAGACCAGTGGTCCCCAATGCGGTGCCCGCTGGGGTATCTGTGCGCCTGCGTACTGGCCGGCGGACAAGCATCCACCGAAATGCCGCCGAGAAACAGTGTCATCATGAGGCGTCGCCGCCGAAATGCTGCTGATTTTCGGCGGCATTTCGGCGGCGACGCCTCTTGACGTTGCCGCTTGTCGGCGGCATTTCGGCGGATGCTTGTCCGCCGGCCACGGTCCTCGGTGGCTCATCGTCCGGCGCCCGCCAGACGAAAAAGGTTGGGGACCACTGGCTTAGACGGATCAGAAACTGAAGGCCGCTCCTGGCTCTTTCATGGTCTTCCTCATCTGATGGTGAACAAAAACAGCTCCCCACCACAGTGGACAACTCTTGCGCGGTAAATAAGCACCCGACTTTCACAATAAGCCAAAATTCAAGCTAATCCCATTTCAAAACCAGGCCAAAACAAGCCACTCCCTAAAACCCCCAACACTCTGTGTGACTAGAGCCCCCCGGCGTGCAGTCTGGGACAGTGGTGGGCTCGCTGTGCACCCCTGACTCTCTCCCTCCCTTGCCTGGAGATGATAAAAAAAGGGAAGAAGCAGCAACAAGCCAAACGAGCAACAGGCTACAAGTCAAAAATTAGACAACAAGCAACTTACAAGCCAGTTAAGCCAAAAACAAGCCCAATGTCTGCGATTTTTCACGGGTTTAGCATGTCTGATTGACAGCTCAAAGCTTCCCAGAAGTAGAGGAGAAAACCAGTCACTGGGCAGGGTTGCTCCCAGCTGGTTCTACCAGACTTTTAATACCAGGGCTGGGTAATTACCTTGTAATTGACTCTAATTAGCGCTGCTGCAGCATTCCTAACCTGGAGCTCTTCCAGAAGCTTGATTCATGTAGGAGCCTGCAAACCTCTGAAAGGAACCGTGTCCCGTCACACCCTTGGCCAATGGATCCCTCCCCTATGGTCCACGCGGAGGCTGATCTTTTCTACACGCCGCTCGCCAATGCCCACGCGGGCTGTGCAATGGAACAGTGTTGCAAAGCTGGGTGGCTGGTTTCCCCACGCATCCTCCCTGCACTACATCAGTGTAACAGGGTCCACGACCCGCCCCTCTTCCTGGGGCCCGCTTGCTGCCCCCAATAAGGCTCAGAGAGGCTTCAGGGTTGTGCAACACCCGTGTCTTTATTTATTTAAGATTATCCCACCATCAGCGTCTATCTATACACAATCTTTACAGAATTAGTCACCTCCTTCACAGGCAGAGGCAGCCTTCAGCTCGGAGGCCTCCAGTTCTCTCCCTGACTAACTTCTCCCTGGCTGCCCCCCACCTCCCAGCTCCCTCCCAGCCTTTATAGTCCTTGGCTTGTCAGGCTAGCCGGTGTTGCCAATCCTCAAGCCGGCATCAGGCCTTTTCCATGAGCCCCAATCTGCGTCCCCTGTTTGAAGCTGACTGGACAGGGGCTAATTAGGTGCTTTTGCACCAGCACCCTGCTACAAACAGCTTAAGTTGTCTGAGAGCTTTGCAGTTGGGTGTTCTCCTAGTTCTCTTCCTAGCAGCAGTGTCGCAAGGATGTGCCACGCTTCGCCCCCTCTTCAAGGGATTACACGAGTCAAGCTGGCCTGGGTGCGGAGGGAAGGCAGAACTGCCTAGCGATTTGTACACAAGAGCAGAGTGGGGCAAAGAGCGGAGTTTTGGGTTCTTTTCTGAAAAAGCGGGGGGGAGGGGAGGAGAGATTAATTTCAGGTCGGCCCCACAACAAAATGTTTCAATATTTTCAGCCAATAGAAATGTTGGGGAAAAAAATCATTTCGGGTCGAATGAAACGATTTCAGCCTGTTTAAAAGATTTGCAAACGGTTGTCAAAAATGAACGTGAAGGCGACTTTGAAATGAAAAGGCATTTTGACTCCAACCCATGGAAATGTTTGGTTGAGAAAATGCCCCAAATGAAACATGTGTAAGGTCTGTTATTTTCCCCCACCAAAGCGATTCAGTGAAACCGACATGAATTTGCAAGATGTTGCGGTCGACCTGAAGCTGCATTCCCCCCCCAAAAAAATGCTATTCAGGAGAGCTGGATTCAATTCCTGGCTCTGCTACTGCTACTGACCTCTGTCAAGTCACTTTGTCCCCTTGAGCCTCAGTTTCCCCATCGGGATAATGATATTGACCCTCCAGTGTAAAGTGCTTTGATATCTACAGCTGGAGATCCGTAAAGTCGTCATTTCATCCCCTCTCCCAAAGCTGCCTTTGCCCTCTTCTCTTCCGCACTCTTACCTCCCTGGCTTCCCAAGGACACCTACACCTGAGCTATGTATTTGCATCCGCTAGCACCTGTCCTCTCACGGAGACATCGCCCCCTAGTGAAGGCAGCTGGAATTTCCCAGCTGCTTCTGCAAGTGATTGTGAGCAGCTTAAATGTCACTAGGTTAAGGGGGTCAAACTCAATGGGAGGAGAGGGCCGTACTCCAACTTTAGTTACGGTTGCAGGATGGGATTTAAAATCAGAACTGGAGCTGGAGGGGAATTTTCCATTAAAGGGATTTGGGGGGCAGAAAAAAGCGGTTTCTGTGAGGGTTGCGCTGCAATGTTTCCATTGTCCACCAGGCAAATTGTAATGTAAACATTCAAGTGCATCTCCCCAAGGTGCCTTATGGGAGTTGTAGTTCATGGTGTCATGCTCTCGTTGGAGCTGGAGTCCTTGGCTGGGCTACAACTCCTGTGGTGCACCACTGGCCAGGGCCGCGCAGAGGATTCAGGGGGCCTGGGGTCTTTGGCGGCGGGTCCCAGAGTGAGTGAAGGACCCGCCGCCGAATTGCCGCCGAAGACCCGGAGCGGAAAGAGCTCTGGGTCTTCGGCAGCGGGTCCTTCTGTCGCTCCGGGTGTGTTTGGCGTCACTGAAGGACCTGCCGCCGAAGACCCACCGAAAACTCTCATGGGGGCCCCTGAAAACTCTCATGGGGGCCCCTATGGGGCCTGGGGCAAATTGACCCACTTGCCCCCCCCCCCGGGGGGCCCTGCCACTTGCTGGCTGGGCCACATGGTGCATCATGGGAGATGTGGAGCAGTCAGGGAGTCCCTCATGCTCCAACCACTAGACCCTATGCCCCTTCCCGAGCCAGGGATAGAACCCAGGAGTCCGATACCTAGCCCCCTGTGCTCTAATGCACTAGACCCCACTCAGATCTGGGGATAGAACCCAGGAGTCCTGACTCCCCAGCCCCCTGTGCTCTAGCACACTAGACTCAGCTCACCTCCCAGAGCCGGGAATGGCAGACAGGAGTCTGACCTCCAGACCCACCCCCCCCCGCTCTAACCACTAGACCCCACTCCCATCTGGGGCCTGGACTCAGTGACCCAATCCTATGAGTGTATAGGTGCGTTCCAACAGGTTACCCAATCACAGGCCAAGAACTCGCGGGTTCCGACATCAGTTCGTTATCCACCGTCACGTATAAATTGTTCTCCTTAACCTGTGAGGATAGGACAAGAAGCAATGGGCTTAAATTGCAGCAAGGGAGGTTTACGGACATTAGGAAAACTTCCTAACTGTCAGGGTGGTTAAGCACTGGAATAAATTGCGTAGGGAGGTTGTGGAGCTCCATCATTGGAGATTTTTAAGAGCAGGTTAGACAAACACCTGTCAGGGATAGTCTAGATCAGGGGTTCTCAGGACACATTTTTTGGTGGCCTCAGAGTTGGCCACTCTCACACTTTTCCCTAAAATACTTGATTTGCTTTAGGAAAAACAAATAAATATGCACATAGACATGTCCAAATCATTGTAATTTGTTTATTGCTAGCTGGTAGGGTTGCCAACTTTCTAATTGCACAAAACCGAACATCCCTGCCCCACCCTGCCCCTGAGGCTCCCCTGCCCCGCCCCTTCTCTGAGGCCCTGCCCCCCCCTTGCTGCATCCCCCGTCCCTCTGTCACTCGCTCTCCCCCACCCTCATTCACTTTCACTGGGCTGGGGCAGGTGGTTGGGGTGCAGGAGGGGGGTGAGGGCTCTGGTTGGGGGTGCAGGCTCTGGGGTAGGGCTGGGGATGAGAGGTTTGGGGTACAGGAGAGGGCACCAGGTGGAGGCAGGGGGTTGGAGTGTGTGGGGGGGTATGGGCTCTGGGCTGGGGGTGCAGGCTCTGGGTGGTGCCAGAAATGGGGGGTTCAGGGTGTGGGAGATGGCTCTTGGCCGGGGCAGGGGGTTGTGGTGCGGGAGAGGGGTGAGGGCTCTGGGCTGGGGGTGCAGGCTCTGGGTGGTGCCAGAAATTGGGGGGTTCAGGGTGTGGGAGATGGCTCTGGGCCGGGGCAGGGGGTTGTGGTGCGGGAGGGAGTGTGGGCTCCAGCTGGGGTTGTGGACTCTGGGGGGGCCTGAGGATGAGCAGTTTGGGGTGAAGGAAGGGGCTCCGGGCTGGGATAGGGTGTGTGGTCTATGACTGGGGGTGTGGGCTCTGGGGTGGGGCCATAGGTGAGGGTTTGGGGTGCAGGAGGGGGCTGTGGCAGGGGGTTGGGGTGTTGGGGAAAGGTGCAGGCTCTGGGAGGAAATTCAGCTGGGGCAGGGGGTTGGGGTGCGGGAGGAGGTTCAGGATGCAGGGTCCTGGCAGCAGTTACCGTGGCTCCCGGGAAGCGAGCGTCAGGTCCTTGCAGCCCCTAGATGCATTGGCAGCAGGGGAGGCTTCACGCGCTGCCCTCGCACCCACAGGCACCGCCCCCGCAGCTCCTATTGGTCATGGTTCTCGGCCAATGGGAGCTGTGGAGCCGGCACTCAGGGTGGGGCCAGCACACAGAGCCTCCCTGCCTGCCCAGGGGCTGCAGGGACCTGGTGGCGACTTCCAGGAGCCACGTGGAGCTAGGGCAGGCAGGGAGCCTGTCTTAGCCTCTGGCCTCCGCTGCGCCGCTGATTTTTAACGGCCCAGTCGGCTGCCAGGCATGGGCGGCGAGTTCCATATCCACGTGGTGCTCGGGCACCAGCAATATTCAGAATCAGGGGCCCAGCTCCAGCAATACTTGGGGCCGGGTGTCCCCCCTGGCCCCACCTGCAGCCCCCCCATGCCTTCCCCGAGTGTCCCCTGGCCCAGACTTGCTGCCCCTGCCCCCCGCCCCCCCACTCGCCTTTCCCGGGCCCTCAGAGCAGTGTCCTAGTGCCCATCTCCACTGCCAGGGCAGACTGACTGTGAGCCTGCCCTTCCCCTCAGACCCTTCCCTTTTCCAATGGGACCCTCCAGCAGCACAGGGGACCCCCCTGCCCGCAGTCACCGCTCCTGCCCCATGCTGGCAAGGAGGCAGCCCCATCCTTCCCCCCAGTGAGGCTACAGTCAGGGGCAACAGCAGGGGAGGAGGCGCACGCAGCACCCCCCCGGCACCCACCACGGGGGAGGCGAGGGAGATTCCTGGACCTGAGAGGGACCCTAGGAGCACATGCAGTGACAGTGGTGGGGGTGAGTGTGCTGCTGGGGGGGGGGGCAGGAAAGGGGGCTCCTCCCCCAGAGCTTGCTGCTGCCGGCAGGGAAAGGCCTGTGGGGAGTCCTCCTCTCTGTCCCCTGTCCCAGAGCAGCCTGCCTGCACCCCAAACTCATCCCCAGCTCTGCCCCACCCCAGAGCCCACACCCCCAGTCAGAGCTTTCACCACCACACCACACCCTCAACCCTCTGCCTGAGCCCCTCCAGCACCCCAAACACCTCATTTCCAGCCCCAGCCAGAGCCCTCACCCCCCCAAAACCCCTACTCTCGCCCTGAGGCCCTCCCACACTCCAAACCCCTCATCTGAAGCCACACCCCACAGCCCTCACCCCTGCACCCCATCGCTCTGCACCCCTCCCATCCCCAAACTCCCTCCCAGAGCCTGCACCCTGTACCCCAATCCCCTGCCCCAGCCTAGGGCCTGCACCCCAGACCTCCTCCCTCATCCAAACTCCCTCCCAGAGCTTTGGGCAGGTGGGGGCGGAGTCTGGGGGGCGGAGTCTGGGCAGGGGCGGGTTCTGGGCACCACCAAAATTTCTACAAACATGCCACCCCTGCTGCCAGGGTCCCTTTTCGACCGGGTGTTCTGGTCGAAATCCAGGCACCTGGCAACGCTCCTAGCTGGTAAGTCTGCTGTGAAAAGTGATATTAATAAACATACAAGTGTCACTTTTCACAGCAGACTTACCCAGCCCCGAGAAGCCTGGGGACAAATTAAGCCCTGGATGGCAGGGTCTTGGGAGGCAGCAGGGCCCAGGGCTGACGGGGGCGGGAGGGGGCAGAGCTCAAAGCCAGAGCCCATGGCCATGGAATGGGGAGGGAGCCTAAAGCCGTCTGGCTGGAGCCCAGGGCCCACTGCCAGGCACCAGAATCTGCCAACCTGCCACCCCGGGGGTGAAGCACAAAGCCTGAGCCAACCAATCCCTGGGAAGGTGGGGAACTCACTGGCTGCCTGATCCTCCCGCATTGTGCCCCAGATGTCTCCAGAGGGGACAGGGCCCAACCCCTGCTTGCAGCCCCAGCAGCCAACACCAAGGGGGTGCGTCCAGGTGCAACAGGGAGGGGCTGTTGCTTTGCACCCCTCCCCCATCACAGCCGGCCAGCCCTGAGTGGTGGGGGTCCTGGGATCGGGGCAGACGGTTGGCCCCCGGGGGCGGCAGCGGAGCTCCGGGATCCAGGGGTGGGGTCCAGGCTGCCACTGCCTTGTCTCCCACAATGTGTCATATGTTGAGGACCACTGGTCTAGATAATACTTAGTCCTGCCATGAGTGCTGGGGACTGGACTAGATGGTCTCTCAAGGTCCCTTCCAGTCATAGGCGCTGACTCCGTGGGTGCTCCGGGGCTGGAACGCCCACAGAAAAAAAATAGTGGGTGCTCAGCACACAGTGGCACCTCCGTGGGTCAGCACCTCCCTCTGCGCCCCCCCCCACCCAGCGCCTTCCGCCCACCGACGGTCCTGCTGATCAGCTCCTCCCACCTGCTGCCATCAGCTGCCTGGATCCGCTGCCCTGGCTGGCTGGTCTGAGCACACCTCGGGTCAGGCCCCACTGGGGAGATGTGAGTGTGACGTTGCATTCCATATGTTTTATGGAAATATGTTAATGAGTGTGAATATAATGTAACTGGACTATGCTTCATGCAAAAGGTCTCTTCCAAGGTACCATTACAAAGCTTATAATCTACGGAGTGTGTTCATCCTATTTGTCTGCATGTATCAGTCTTGTATATAAAACTAGAAATATAAAGTATAACTCTGAAGTTCTATTGTAATTATGCAAAGTGTGCTCCCATTGACTAGGACAATTGGTTGTAGTTGGCTCTGTTTACCCACAAGCCTCAACTGCAAGTGTGCGGGCCAGTCCTGGAAGAATGAAGGGGGTTCACAGGACACGTGAACATGTCACACGATACTAGAATCCATCTTTAAGCTGGTGCTTTTCCATTTAGAAGGAGGAGTGGGAACCCAGAGAGAGACCAAGGATTCCTGCCTTGTGCCAAAGCTATAAAAGGGGGTGGAACAGAACAAAGAGGGCTGCAGTCATGAAAAATCCCCTAGTTACCACCTGAGCTGGAACTAACAAGAACTGTACCAGGGGAAAGGATTGGGCCCAGACTAGGAAGGAGTCTAGTCTGTGAAAGAAGCTTATTAGAACATTTCTAAGGGTGAGATTTACTTGTATTCAGTTTCTTAATCTATTAGGCTTAGACTTGCGTGTTTTGTTTTATTTTGCTTAGTAACTTACTTTGTTCTGTCTGTTATTACTTGGAACCACTTAAATCCTACTTTTTATACTTAATAAAATCACTTTTGTTTATTAATTGACCCAGAGTCAGTGATTAATACCTGGGGGAGCAAACAGCTGTTCATATCTTTCTATCAATGTTATAGAGAGCGGGCAATTTATGAGTTTACCCTGTATAATAAAACGGATTTATTTGGGGTTTGGATCTCATTGGGAGCTGGGTGTCTGGGTGCTGGAGACAGGAGAACTTGCTGAACTGTTTTCAGCTTAGTCTGCAGCTTTGGGGCGTGGTTCAGACCGTGGGTCTGTGTTGCGTGTCTGGCTCAACAAGGCAGAGTTCTAGAGGCCCAAGCTGGAAGATAAAATGGGCTCAGAGGTAGTTTCAACACATCAGGTGACAGTCCCAAGAGTGTCTCTGTGACCGAACCCGTCACAGTGGCATAGTCGAGCAGGATCTGTGCACATCTGATTGTTTTGAGACACCGGTAGTGATTTTTAAGTGAGTTTTGAGTGTGGTGGCTGGAGAACAGACAAAGTGCTTACCAGTTTGTTGTTTTCTGTTTGTTTATTTCGGTTGAGGGAAATAAGCACAAGAAAGCAGGAAAATGACTATCAGTGAGGCAGATACAAAACTAGAGCTGTCCAGACTGGAAGCGGAAGAGAAGGCAAAGGAGTGTGAGTTTCAGATGAGGCTCAAAGAAGCAGAGGCAGCCAGGGAGGAAACTGCTCACAAAAGAGCCATGGAGTTAAAAGACAAAGAGCTTGAAGCCCAGAAAGCTGCCCAAGAGGACAAGGAAAGAGAGAGGCAGCTAGCCGTGGAGTTAAAAGACAGAAATACAGTCCCAAATTGAGACCCAGAAGCATGAACTGGCTGTAATGAAGTAGAAGAGGCAAAACCCTCCAGCAGCTGTCTCCACTTCCCCAAAAATCCATAAATGGGAGCAGTTGTGCCCAGAGTATGATGAATCCAGTGATATTGCTGAATATTTCATCACTTTTGAGAGACTATACACTCTCCTTTTGATTCCTGAAGATCAAAAGTTGACCACTTTGGTTGCAAAATTGACTGGGAGAGCTCTGGACATATTTAATAAGATGCCTATTGCTGATGCTCCAAACTATGGTAAATTTAAGGAACTGGTTTTGAAAAAGTTCCAGATTACACCTGAAACCTACAGGGTGAAATTCAGGAGTTTTAAGAGGGATCTGGATTAAGTAATGTGGCCTATGTAAATGAAATGAAAGATTTGTTAGAGAAGGGGGGGGGAGGGGAAAAGGCATTACAAACTTGGAAGAAATGTGTGATTTGGTTACTCAGGAACAGTTCCTGAATATGTACAGTGATGATGTAAAACAGCATAGGCATGCACACGGGGTGTGCCAGGTGTGCCCAGGCACATCCTAATGCCCGCGGGCCAGATCTGGCCCCTCAGGGCTTTGGATCCAGCCCGCGAGATTTGCCCCCTGTGGTGCCACAGGCCCCGCGCCGCTCTCAGAAGTGGCCGGCACCACGTCTCTGGGGCCCCGTGGGGGGGGGGCAGGGGGCTCCATGTGTTGCTCCAGGCACCGCCCCCCGCAGCTCCCATTGGCCGGGAAAGGGGAACCGTGGTCAATGGGAGCTTCGAGGGAGGTACCTGCAGACATGGCAAGGGCAGCACGCGGAGCCCTGTGGCCCCCCCGAGCGGCCACGCAGGGACGTGGTGAGCGGCACAGTGTGGGGCCAGGATAGGCAGGCAGGCAGGCAGGGAGCATGCCACTTCAGGTAAGCAGCGCCAGGCTGGAGCCTGAACCCTTCCTGCACCCCACCCCCAACTCCCTGCCCTGAGCCCCCTGCCTGTACCCTGTACTCCTCCGGCACCCCAACCCCCTGCCTGCACCCCTCCTACACCCCAACCCCCTGCCTGTACCCTGCACCCCTCCTGCACCTCAACCCCCTGCCCTGAGCCCCCTGCTGCACCCTGCACCCCCATGCACTCCAACTCCCTGCACTGAGCCCCCACTGCACCCTGCACCCCAACTCCCTGCCCTGAGCTCCCTGACGCACCCTGTACCCCAACCCCCTGCCCTAAGCCCCCTGCCTGCACCTCGCACCCCAACCCTCTGCCCTGAGCCCCCTGCTGCACCCTGCACCCCTCCTGCACCCCAACCCCCTTCCCTGAGCCTCCTCATACACCCCACATCCCTCCTCTGCCCCAATCCCTTGCCCTGAGCCCCTTCCCGCACACTGCACCCCTTCCCACACCCCGCACTCTCTCCCGCACCCCAATCTTTATGATACTTGTCTTTAAAAAATAATGATAATAAAATTCCCTGGGTGTACACCCTAATGAAATGTGCTGCATACGCCTATGTAAAACAGTATTTGTGGGACAAAAAGGTGGGTGCCGTGGGTGAATTAGCTGGGTTTGCAGACTCTTTCGAGTAGTCACAAGCTGCAATTAACCATAAACCACTGGCAGAGGGGTATAGGGTTGGTGGAAAGCAGAATCACTGTTTTACCCCTGGGAAAAAGAAGGCTGGGCATTCACCTCCCCATTCAGGGGCAGCAGGCTTGTAGAAATGTTGGTGGTGCCCAGAATGTCCAAAGCCTGCCCCCCAAAAAACTCTGCCCCCACCTACCTAAGGCTCTGGGAGGGAGTTTGGGTGCTGGGTGCAGGCTGGGGGTGCAGGCTCTGGGACAGAGTTTGGATGCAGGCTCTGGGCTGGGGGTGGGGGTGCAGGCCCTGGGAGGGAGTTTGGGGAGGCAGGGGGTGGAGGAAGGGGTGCAGGCTCTGGGAGGGAGTTTGGGGAGGCAGGGGGTGGAGGAAGGGGTGCAGGCTCTGGGAGGGAGTTTGGGAAGGGAGGGGGGTGGAGGAAGGGGTGCAGGCTCTGGGAGGGAGTTTGGGGAGGGAGGGGGTGGAGGAAGGGGTGCAGGCTCTGGGAGGGAGTTTGGGGGCAGGAGGGGGTGTGTGGGAAAGGGGTGGGGGTGCAGGCTCTGGAAGGGGGTGAGGAAGTGCAGCACTTACCTGGGGCTCCTAGGCAGGATGGGCTGGGCTTCCGTGTGCTGCTACCCCCAGGCACTGCCCCCAGAGCTTCCTATTGGCTGCAGGGGCGCTTGAGGCGGGACACAGACCCACCCCACCCAGGGGCTGCAGGGAGGGGCCGGCAGCCACGTGGAGCAAGCAGGCAGGAAGCCACTCAGCTCCGCTGCACTTCTGGTGGTGAGTGGGGGCCCTGGGCTATTTTAAATCACCCAGAGATGCACGGGGGAGCACCCGGGGGCAGAAGGTGGGGCCGAGGGAGACACCCGGCCTCAGACATTTCTGGAGCCGGGCCCAGAATATTCCTGGTGCCCAGGCACCACAGGCCCATAGAACTCGCCGCCCATGTCCCCATTCCCCTGTTACTCTTCCCAAGTCTCCTGTACAAACAGAGGAGCCCGAAAGGTGCTATCATTGTAAGTCCACTGAGCACCTGAGGAATAAATGTCCTTGGCTGAGTGGCAACAGGCGCCAGTTAACACATGAAGCTGCTGCTTCTCAGAGCACAGGGGTATCCCAGGCTACTGCCTCTTATCACACAGGATTTGTAAAGGTTGCTTCTGCACAACCAAGCAGTGAGCGTATGCATGCTGTTAAGCTTAATGGCAAAGTGCTCCAAAGATGGAGAGACACTGGTGCAGAAATTTCTGTGGTCAGGAGAGACCTGATCCAGGAGAAGGATTTGTTACCAGGAAAAATGGCAGAATTAGAATTGGTCGGAGGTAACAAAGTCCTTGCACCTTTAGCTAAGGTACCCATGAAAACTGGTGATTTGCAGGCTGAACTGACTATTTCAGCGGTGGCACACAATTTTGCACTGTTTCTATTGGGAAATGATTTTTTGGCAGAATCTGTCCCAGGGTTTGTTAGCAGCAAGAAGGAATCTTGTGCTGAAAGCCCCAGTGGGGAGGCTGGAGTCACATGTGCTGCTGAGGGAATAGGAGAGCGTCTCTTTAATTCCTCTGGAGCAGTGGAGAATGCAGCTTTAGGGGAAGGGGGTGGTCGAAACCAGTTCCTGTAGCCTCTGGGCTGAAGGCAAGTCCCTGCAGGAAGGGCTGGATAGAGCCAGCTCCTGTCCTGTGATCATCTCCCTGGAGGAGGGGGATGTTCCACCTTGTAACAGGGAGGCCATCCCACCTGCTGACTGCCAGGAAGTTGCACATCAGCAGGGACTGGTCCTGCTATGGGGTGCACAGAGACATGTATCCCGGAGATGGAAGTTGGAGTTCTGATGACTGCTGCAGTGGGAACAGACCCCAAGGGCTCTGTAGCTGGGAGCAAGCCCAACCTGAGTGAAAGGGGGAGGATTTTGCTGGCCAGTGAAGGGTCTGTCATAGCTGCTATCTGTGAGCCCACAATTGGATTAGGGTCTGTTATGGTATACCCCCCAAATCTGAAATCTGGGGTACAGATGTGGGGACCTGCATGAAAGACCCCCCCCCCCCAAGTTTATCCTCTACCAGCTTAAGTTAAAACTTTTTCAAGGCACAGTTTTTTGCCTTGGATAGATATTGCTGCCACCACCAAGTGATTTTTACAAATATTCAGGGAAGGGTCACTTGGAGCCCTATCCCCCCAAAAAATATCCCCCCAAGCCACTTCACCCCCTTTCCTGGGGAGGCTTGAGAATAAAATACCAACCAGTTGCCTTAGCAATGTGAGCACAGACCAACCCCTTGTCTAAGGACTTTGGAATTAAAGGATTTTTTTAAAAAGAGTAAATTTTATTTAAAAAGAAAGAAACATCTGAAAACTCAGGCTTTAGGGATTAAACACCAAAATATTTTTGGGGGGTTCAGCTTAAAGGTTACAAGCAAAACAAAAGCACCTGGGATTAGCGCAGAGGAATCCACAAACCAAAACAACCAAAAAAGGTTTCTAATCACATCTGTCTTAACTTTTTCTGTGCTACTTACATATCTGGGGTTCCAAATGAGGAGTTTCTAGGTATGATACTGATGATCTCCCCTACTTGACTTAAAGCTTACAGCTTGTTGCTACCTTCCCCTCTCTCCAGCCTGAGACATAAACGAACCCCCCCCCCCAGCAGTTTTTCAAATTTGAAAGGGTACAGCCTCCCTATTGTCTCCCCTGGTCAGGTGCCAACTCAGGTTAAGCTTCTCTTAACCGTTTACTGTTAAGGCAATTAGGGTACAGCTGCTAAGGAGGATTCTATAGCTACTGACTGGTTCGGTGTCCATAAAAGGGAGCTACCCCCCTCATTCATCACAGGGTCACATGCCCTTCTGGGGGACACTGGAGTGTCTGCCTCAGAGGGGAGCCCAGAGAGGGAAGTCCAGATGGAAAGTGAAAGAGGACAGGGGAGTCTGCCCACCTTTCGTAGGAAGGCTTTTCCCCGGAAGGGGGGGGGGTGAAGGAACTGCATCTGAAATGCCAGACCCCCTCACCTGTGGATCAGGTTTTAAGGGAAGACTGGGGGGGTCAGATCTCCTGGAGGTGAGAGTCCACCCAGCTGACCTTTTGGGAACAGAGAGTGGGGTGACGGAGGGGAATCTTACCAATCCAAAGCACTCCATTGAAGGATGTTGTTCCTGCTACGCTTGTAAGAGATAAAACTGTCTCTTCAAGATAGGCAGAAGGAAAACTTCACAAGGGGGTGGGGTCCAACACAAAGAGATTCCAGAGGGAGGGGCCAAGGGCAGGCATGGTTGCAGTGCACCCTTTCCTTGCCAGAACCTCAAACACATGCCTGAATTGAGAGCCTTCTCCAGAGAGGCAGGAGAATCTGTGTCTGAGCCCCCACCATGGTACACAAAGGGATTGGGAAATACAGTGGACACTGGGCAAGCCAGGCTGTGTGAACGGAATCTGTCCATCATAAGCTGGCTGTTAATCTTGTGTCTTTTGCTACTTCATCTAGGGGTCAAGACAACGGAGTTAATACTAATGGTAAACCCTTTAAAGATGTGGGACATACTTGATTTGTGGGGAAAACGTTTGTACATGCTAGGAATGGTGACAAGACAATCCCGCAAGCATGTTGTTTCCAGCTTATACCTGTAAACAGGCTGGAAGCTTGGCACAGCAGCAAAAGCATAACAGGCCTACACTGCTGTGTGGAAGGGGAAACTGAGGCACACTGCCTCATGGCATTGGTGGCTAAATGCCAAGATACCTACACTTTAACAGATATTGCTGTCTGCATTCTGTTAGCAATACTACACCCCAACATGTTTTCAGGCACTTGCAGACCCAGAACTTTGCAAGAACATCTATAAACAACATCATAAGATTTAAAAGTACTGGGAGGGTGTGTAACCAGAGACTAACAGGGATTTTACACGTACTGCCTCCACCATGGACAGTGTCCAAGACTCTGGCAGTAGGTTCATGAGAGGGTGTGATGTTGCACTCCAAATGTTTTATGGAAATATGCTAATGAGTGTGAATATAATGTAACTGGAATATGCTTCATGCAAAAGGTCTCTTGTACGGTATCATTACAAAGCGTATAATCTACTGAGTTTGCTCATCCTATTTGTATGCCTGTATCATTCTTGGATCTGAAACTAGAAATATAAAGTATAACTCTGAAGTCCTATTGTAATTTTGCAAAGTGTGGGCCATTAATGGTGGTTTGGAATCTTGATGGCTCCACTGACTAGGACAATTGGTTGTAGTTGGCTCTGTTTACCCGCAAGCCTCCACTGCAAGTGTGCGGGCCAGTCCTGGAAGAATGAAGGGGGTTCACAGGACACGTGAACATGTCACACGATACTAGAATCCATCTTTAAGCTGGTGCTTTTCCATTTAGAAGGAGGAGTGGGAACCCAGAGAGAGACCAAGGATTCCTGCCTTGTGCCAAAGCTATAAAAGGGGGTGGAACAGAACAAAGGGGGCTGCAGTCATGAAAAATCCCCTAGTTACCACCTGAGCTGGAACTAACAAGAACTGTACCAGGGGAAAGGATTGGGCCCAGACTAGGAAGGAGTCTAGTCTGTGAAAGAAGCTTATTGGAACATCTCTAAGGGTGAGATTTACTTGTATTCAGTTTCTTAATGTATTAAGCTTAGACTTGCGTGTTTTGTTTTATTTTGCTTAGTAACTTACTTTGTTCTGTCTGTTATTACTTGGAACCACTTAAATCCTACTTTTTATACTTAATAAAATCACTTTTGTTTATTAATTGACCCAGAGTAAATGATTAATACCTGGGGGAGCAAACAGCTGTGCATATCTCTGTCAGTGTTATAGAGGGCAAACAATTTATGAGTTTATCCTGTATAAGTTTTATACAGAGTAAAACAAATGTATTTGGGGTTTGGATCCCATTGGGAGCTGGGTGTCTGGGTGCTGGAGATAGGTAACTTGCTAAGCAGTTTTTGGTTAAAGTCTGCAGCTTTGGGGGTGTGGATCAGACCTGGGTCTGCGTTGCCACAGGCTAGCGTGTCTGGCTCAACAAGGCAGGGTTCTGGAGTTCCAGGCTGGCAGAGAAAATGGGCTCAGAGGTACTTTCAGCACATCAGGTGATAGTCCCAAGGGGGCCTCTGTGACCGAACTCGTCACAGTGAGTGTCAGGACCTGCTGCTGACCCAGTCTCCAGGCAACCTAACGAGCACAGCTGGCCCGTTGGAGGCTGCCTAATTGGCTACCCTGTCTGATTGATTGGAAGAGTCAGTAGCCAGCAGCATTAGCTCCTGCACCCGCTTGTCCCCAGCCTTGCTCCCACCCTGCCTCACTCCAGATGACCCCTCACTCCAGTTCTGACCCTGATTCCTGGCTACTGCCCACTAGGCCTGACTGCTGCTCCCATCACAAGGCGTAGCCCCCCGCGGCCTGGTCTCGTGACAGCATGGGAGCACGCTTGAGAATCCCTCTGGGATTTAGGTACGAGCGACCGGCACTGTGGAGCTTGTTAAAGGTGGGGCGGTGGAATTAGACAGGACCAGTCCAAATGTAGATGCCGAGGGGGGTTAGGCACCTGTGGGGCTAGCTGAGCAGGGCTCTCGTGCACATCAGTGTTGCATGGCCACCTAAGTCCCTTGATGGATCGAGTGGCAGGCGTGGCCATGCGGGAAGGAGACACCAGAGAAGCAGGGCCACTGTTGTCACTGGTTTATTCTGCTGTCTCCTCGCCAGCGCTCCCATCCCAGCAGGCGTGGTCAGCCAGATCTCATGGTCTCCTGCAGCCAAGTGATGTAGTTGCACACCTTAACGAACACGCCAGTCTGTTTGGGCCGGGAGCATCCTTCTAAGCCCCAGGAGGCGATGCCCTGAAGTTCCCTCTGGCAGACGAGCGGCGAGCCAGGGTCTCCCTGCAGGGCAAGCGCCACAAAGTGCATTAATAGGACACGTAGAGAGCCCAATCTGGGTCCCTCATGCGACAGACCTAGGCTTCGCTCCCCAACCCTGCCTTTCAGAATGAATGTGCCAGGCCTATCATAGAAGCGTAGGGTTGGAAGAGACCTCAGGAGGTCATCTAGTCCAACCCCTTGCTCAAAGCAGGACCAACCCCAACTAAATCATCCCAGCCAGGGCTTTGTCAAGCCGGGCCTTAAAAACTTCTAAGGATGGCGAGATTCCACCACCTCCCTAGATAACCCATTCCAGTGCTTCACCACCCTCCTAGTGAAATAGTGTTTCCTAATATCCAACCTAAACCTCCCCCACTGCAATTTGAGACCATTGCTCCTTGTTCGGTCATCTGCCACCACTGAGAACAGTCTAGATCCATCCTCTTTGGACCCCCCATTCAGGTAGTTTGAAGGCTTCTATCAAATCCTCCCTCACTCTTCTTCACTGCAGACTAAATAACACTAGTTCCCTCAGCTTCTCCGTGTAAGTCATGTGCCCCAGCCTCCTGATCATTTTTGTTACCCTCAGCTGGACTCTCTCCAATTTGTCCACATCCTTTCTGTAGTGGGGGGCCCAAAACTGGATGCAATACTTCAGATGTGGCCTCACCAGTGCCGAATAGAGAGGAATAATCATTTCCCTCGATCGGCTGGCAATGCTCCTACTAATGCAGCCCAATATACCGTTGGCCTTCTTGGCAACAAGGGCACACTGCTGACATATCCAGCTTCTCATCCACTGTCATCCCCAGGTCCTTTTCTGCAGACCTGCGGCTTAGCCAGTCCCCAGCCTGTAGCAGTGCCTGGGATTCCTAAGTGCAGGACTCTGCACTTGTCCTTGTTGAACCTCATCAGATTTCTTTTGGCCCAATCCTCCAATTTGTCTAGGTCACTCTGGACCTTATCCCTACCCTCCAGTGTATCTACCTCTCCCCCCAGCTTAGTGTCATCTGCAAACTTTCTGAGGGTGCAATTCATCCCATCATCCAGATCATTGATAAAGATGTTAAACAAAACCAGCCACAGGACCAACCCCTGGCGTACTCTGCTTGATACCGGCTGCCAACTAGACATCAAGCCGTTGATCACTACCCGTTGAGCCTGACAATCGAGCCAGCTTTCTTTCCACCTTATATCAGAGGGGTAGCCATGTTAGTCTGTATCCACAAAAACAACAATGGACTCCTCATTGTTTTTATCTACCTTATAATCCATTCATCCAATCCATACTCGCTGGCAAGAATACTATGGGAGACCATATCAAAAGCTTTGCTAAAGTCAAGATAGGGGCTTGTGTAATCCACTATGTCCAATACCCTGCGCCAGTCACCGAGGATGTGAATCTATTACGCCTGAGCTGGGCTCTTCAGTTCAGGAGGGCCCAGCGTTGGCCCCAGGCACACTGTATAGCCAGTCCTTGCCCTCAAGAAGTTACAATCTAAATGAACTAAGGGTAGAAAGAGAAACAAAGGCAGGAAGGGACGTGCCCAAAGTCATACAGGAAATCAGCGGCAGAACCAGAAATAGAATCCAGTAGTCCGGACTTGCAGCCCCCCTGCTCTAACCCACTAGACCCCACTCCCCTCCCAGAGCTGGGGCTAGAATCCACTGGGTGCTTCTCCAGAAGGGCTGGGGAAGGAAGACCGTTCAGAAGCAAGCGAAGACAGCCGGGCATCGGAACAATCCCAGCGTCATTAACGAGGTCCCCCGCCAACGAACCAACATGGCCGCGCAAGGGCTGCCCAGCAAACGGCCATGTCCAACTTGGGGGCCGCAATCTCAGGCTGCTTCTTCCACGTCCCTGTTTGCCCGGAGAGCGGAAACCCGCCATTTCGGGGGGGAGGGTTTGGCTGGAAAAGTCACGTCCATCCCGCGCGGCTGGATCTGCACTGACCGGACGCCGAGAGAGTAACCCCAGTCTTTGGGCTAAAACTAGGGTGACCAGATGTCCCAATCTGAGGGGCTTTGTTTATATACACAACGATGCCCCCACCAAAAAGTGTCCCAATTTTTCACACTTGCTATCTGGTCAGCCCAGCAAAAACGCTTCGAGCCGGACGCCCCTCGCTGCCGCTGCTGGGAGCTGAGCGCGTCACCCGAGCCAGGCTGAGGTGACGGGACAATCGATGAGTTGCAGTGTTTTGAAGAGAGTTAATTTGGCAGTTTTCGCCTACCAGCCCCTTCCAGTTGTTTTTGGGTGAAGCGAAAGCAGAAGGGACCAAGAGACGATGGCTGTGATCATTGGCTCTGAGCTCCAGGACAGCCCAGACTGTGGGAATCTCAACCACTTCTGCAGGCTTGTCCCACCCGCTCAGTCCTGCCCCAGTGGGGGGCTCCACGTCCCATACAGCCCCCAGCCCGCCCTGTCCCGCCCCTCCGTCCTGCCCCAGCAGGGGCC